GCTTTTTTTTGTCTCTTTTCAGGATTTGGGCGGAGTTCCTCTTAAAGCGAAGTTTTGCTATAATCGCCAAGTTTCGGCCGCCAGCTGAACTTCCGCCGCGCTCCTTCGGTTCTCCCAGAATGCACCAAATTTGGGTCGCCGCGCCCAACAACCATTTTTTTCTCCCCTTCCTGCATTTCAGATGACAAGTCCGCCTGTCTGCACTGAGCGATCCGGACACCTGCTGATCTGTAGAAATCTCTGCACAGCCATCCCAGGGCTCCCCTCTTGTCACTCCTGCCCCCCCCCCTCCCCTCTTTGATGGGGGTGGGGTGTGGGGGGGTCACACGATGGGGTTATTCCACCAAAGCCTCTGTATTGTTCCCCCTCCCCCCCCCTTAGCCATTGTGTGATTCCCAAAGAATGCTTTTAATCCCCTTCCATCCCCCGTCAGCTGTTTCCAGGCGCTGCTTCAATAGGCCCCCCAAACATCTCTCGCTAAGCCGCCCGCGGCGTCACCTTTTTTCCCGCATCTCGCGTTTAACTCCTTTCATAGAGAAGGGACCCCCTCCTCCTCCCCCCCCCCCCCAGGATCAAAGGGTTATCATTTTATTATATGTTACAAGTCCGCTTCTCTTCAAAGTGATTCGCTGGCGGGCGACGGAGTCGCTGGAAACCGATTCTGACAGACGAGTCAGCTGCAATCTATGAGTAACCGCAAAGGCGCGGGGGTGGGGGGGGGGGGGTGGCGATGGATATTACATAATCCAGGTGATAATGGCGACTTGGCATCGAATTTATTTCTTCATTCATTCTGATCAGGGCTAAAAAAAATGGGCTTTCGAAAAATTCATCGTTCAGGAAACATCTTCAGGTTTCCAAGGCTCTCAGTTTGCGTCTTTGATGAGAAAAACCCCAACCGACACAAATCGACCAGTCATCCTTTATCGCAGGAGAATCCTTTCTCCGCTGGAGCCATCTTTGCGGGGGGGGGGGGGGTTCACGTGTTAAAAAAAGAAAACATTTCAGGCCTAAAGATTGCTTAACCCCCCCCCCCCCCCCCACACACATAACATATTTCGTGAAAGCAGAGATCCTGGAGAATACAATTGTTACAATCTTTTATGTTCCACAATATCGGCGCGAGGGTTCAAGTTAATTTTAGGAAACACAAACAAGTCAGCTGCAAGTCTGCCGATCGCTGTGGCACCATCTACGGTCTATGAGTAAACGCAAAAAGGGGGGGGGGGGGTGGCAGATATTATACAACCTGCGTCCAATCCAGGCGATAATGGCGACTTGGCCATTCATGAAACATCTTCAGGTTTCCAAGGCTCTCAGTTTGCATCTTTGATGACAGAAACCAAAACCGACACAAAACAACCAGTCATCCTTTATCGCAGGAGAATCCTTTCGCCGCCGGAGCCATCTTTGCGGGGGGGGGGGGTTTTCACGTGTAAAAAAAAGAAATAATTTCAGGCCTAAAGATTGCTTAACCCCCCCAAACATTATATATTTCCTGAAAGCAGAGATCCCGGAGAATACAATTGTTACAATCTTTTATGTTCTGTGATATCGGCGCGAGGGTTCAAGTTAATTTTAGGAAACACAAAGTCAGCTGCAAGTCTGCCGAGCGCTGTGGCACCATCTACGGTCTATGAGTAAACGCAAAAAGGGGGGGGGGGTGGCAGATATTATACAACCTGCGTCCAATCCAGGCGATATTGGCGACTTGGCATCGAATTTATTTCTTCATTCATTCTGATCAGAGCTAAAAAAAATGGGCTTTCTAAAAATTCATCGTTCATGAAACATCTTCAGGTTTCCAAGGCTCTCAGTTTGCGTCTTTGATGACAGAAACCAAAACCGACACAAAACAACCAGTCATCCTTTATCGCAGGAGAATCCTTTCGCCGCCGGAGCCATCTTTGCGGGGGGGGGGGGGTTTTCACGTGTAAAAAAAGAAATAATTTCAGGCCTAAAGATTGCTTAACCCCTCCAAACATTATATATTTCCTGAAAGCAGAGATCCCGGAGAATACAATTGTTACAATCTTTTATGTTCCACAATATCGGCGCGAGGGTTCAAGTTAATTTTTGGGCACACAAACAAGTCAGCTGCAAGTCTGCCGAGCGCTGTGGCGCCATTTACGGTCTATGAGTAAACGCAAAAAGGGGGGGGGGGGGCGGCAGATATTACACAACCTGCATCCAATTCAGGTGATTATGGCGACTTGGCATCAAATTTATTTCTTCATTCATTGTGATCAAGGTTAAAAAAAAAAAATGGGCTTTCGAAAAATACATCGTTCATGAAACATTTTCAGGATTCCAAGGCTCTCAGTTTGCGACTTTGATGAAAGAAACCCCAACCGACACAAAACGACCAGTCATCCTTTATCGCAGGATAATCCTTTCGCCGCCGGAGACGTCTTTGCGGGAGTTTTTTCGCACGCGTTAAAAAAAGAAATAATTTTAGGTCTGCAGATTACTTAACCAGCCCCCCCCCCACAAACATTACATATCTCCTGAAAGCAGAGATCCTAGAGAATAAAATTGTTCCAATTTTTTCTGTTCCACAATATCGGCGCGAGGGTTTGCCGGGTGCAAGTTTTCAGTAGAAAAAAAAAAAAAAGCACTAAAGCGAATTTTTGGGCACACAAACAAGTCAGCTGCAAGTCTGCCGAGCGCTGTGGCGCCATCTACGGCCTATGAGTAACCACAAAAAAGGGGGGGGGGAGGGTTGCAGATGTTACACAACCTACATCCAATCCAGGCAATAATGGCGACTTTGCATCGAATTTATTTCTTCATTCATTGTGATAAGGGCTTAAAAAAATGGGCTTTCTAAAAATACATCGTTCATGAAACATTTTCAGGTTTCCAAGGCTCTCAGTTTGCGTCTTTGATGAGAGAAACCCCAACCGACACAAAAACGACCAGTCATCCTTTATCGCAGGAGAATCCTTTCACCGCCGGAGCCGTTTTTCCGGGGGGGTTTTTTGCACCTGTTGAAAAAAAAAAATGTAGGTCTGCAGATTACTTAAGCCCCCCCCCTCCCCCACACACATTACATATTTCCTGAAAGCAGAGATCCCGGAGAATAAAATAGTAGAAGTTCCAATTTTTTTATGTTACACAGTATCAGTGCGAGACAGGGGCGGACTGACAACTCATGGGGCCCCCGGGCAATAGGGGATCATGGGGCCCCTGTGTCCTTGCCCAAACTCAAAAAAGACTATGAAAAAGGTACCAGGGGCATCTCATGGGGCCCCCTACTGACGGGCCCTCGGGCAGTGCCCGAGTTTCCAAATGGTCAGTCCGCCGCTGGTGCGAGAGATATCATATATGCAAATTTTCAGTAAAAAGGTTAATTTTAGGGCACACAAAACACAAAACATAACTGCTGGTTGGTAAAGAATTCAGAATTAGGTTGTGCCGAGTAAATAGATGCCAAACATGTCGAGCCTTAAATCGTTCCGGCCCCGCCCCGCCCCCCACATACAAAAAGTCAACAGCTACAAATACTGCAGTTGCTGACTCTGAGGCCGGTTCACTCTACATGGGTTTCAGTTGCTTTTTTTTCTGCATCCAAAACGCACAGAAAGTAGGTGATGCGGCTGTCAGTGTCATCGTTCACATCAGCGCTTGCAGTTCCGGTGCGTTCCGGTTGGAGAAAAAAAAAAAGTAGAATGGGCTGGCATTTTTCCTGCACAGAACCAAGTGGTAAAACGCATCAAAAATGCACCGGAACGCACATGTCCCTATTTAAATTCAAAGAAAAAGAGAGGGGAAAAAGTGAACTGGAACGCAGAAAAAATGCACCGGAATGAAAAATGCGCAATGCAGAAAACACATCCGGAATGCATTTCTATGGTGTTAACTGGCCCTTAATGTCGGGGCACTTACCTCTCCGGAGGCCTAGCGGTGTCCCCACCCCGAGCCGATTCTTCAACCCGCTGTCAGGTGCTGGTGCCGCCATCTTGACCAAGGCTAGGTTCACACCTATGCGGTTAGCGTTTGATGCGTTTTTTTTTGCGGTGCATTTTGCGTTTTTTATGCGTTTTTGCTTTTTTTTATGTATTTTGGTTTTTTTTTTCAACTTGTTGCTGGGCAAATAAAATGCAAAACGCATGAAAAAACGCGTCAAAAACACATCAAAAAAGCACTACATGCTTTTCTGCAGCATCTCCATTGAAGTCTGTAAAACCAAAATGCAACTTTTTGCTTTTAAAATAGTCCCCGCCCCTTTCCAAAAAAAACGCAGCGGGGTGAAAACGCGGAGATGTGAGCGTGTCCCCCATAGGGAAGTCGTATTAAATGACTGCTGTGCGTTTCTGCAAAATGCAGCGGAAAACGCATAGGTGTGAACCCGGGCTGAGGGAAACCGGCGTGAAGTCGCAAGGCCTCCTACGTGCGAAGCGCGCTGCACTTTGTGAATGGGCAGCAGTCCTCAGGGACCACGGAAGTGTCCTGGAAGGCTGCTGTGGGGAGGGGGGGGGGGACTTCTAGATCCGTTCGCTGCAGCAAACTGTACTGGAAGTGGCACAGGTACCTTTCAAAAAACCAGGTACCCGCTCCCCCCCCCCCAAAGGGTGACAGTGCAGGGGGGGTGGGGGGGCAGATAAGTGGAGGTTCTACTTTTGGGTAGAACTCCGCTTTAATCAGACGAATCAGCCTTACAATGAAGATGTTGGTTCTGTAGCTACACAACCCCAGTGCTCTGGGGATCCTTTGTCCCGTAATTTTGTGCAAATGTATTCGGAGATCACCAATAAATGCGCCTGTTTGCCTAATTATTCATTTCAAGTCCTGTGAGTGGCTATTGGAATGTGAAGCAGCACAAGGAGCCAATCAGTTTCATGTAGAGACCAGAAGCATGCCGATAGGAGGAGAGAGCAGAGTGACAGAGAGATAGAGGTGAGCCCATCACTGTGCTGCTTCTCCTTTCACTATCCAGTCACAGGAAGGAGGTGGGTCCAGGACAACCTGGGCTCAGAGGAAGTGGGGTTTAAATGATACTGGCTCGTAGACTAAGGACATCTAGTGCCAGAAAAAAAAAAAAATAGCCTCTAGAGTGAAAATTATTTTTTTCGGCAGCCAATGCTGGTTTTGTGCGGAGTTGCGCTTTAATGCCCCGCCTTCTACCTCAAGGCTACCCAGTCCCGAAGAGTCTCCATAGATCACAGGGTTAAGTAGGAGGGGCCGAGCTCCCGCCTGTCGCCTCCCATGACGCCGCTGAGCATCCGATGCCGCCACTGAATATTTGCGCTCACGACACACCAGCTGCATACAAGGGAAGCGCTCAAGGTTGCCCCAAGGTCAAGGAAACCAAATCTCCCGGCTCCGGCCGACGCGTTGTGCCCCGGGGCCCCCCGGAGATCATTTTCTCTTCTGCAATATACATGGCGGAGGGGACGGCTGACTGCAAACAGGGAGATTATTACAAAGGAAAATATAAATAATGTGACGGCAGAGGATCGGGACTTAAAGGGGATCTCCACCCCAACCCGCCTGTAGACAATATTCCCGGACTGAAAAGACCCGCCCCTGTGCACCAGGATGGAAGGAGGGTGACTACGCGTTTCAGAATCTGCAATACAACTGCCTCTGTGCCACTGCCCCGCCCTCCAGCTCTCCCACCTCCTATAGGCTCATCCAAGTACCTCCCACTCATCACCTTCCACTCCCGCTACAAGCCTGATTTTTACTTCATGTGGCACTATTCCTCCACTGACACCAATGATGGGGCACTATTCCTCCCACTGACACCAATGATGGGCACTATTCCTCCCACTGACACCAATGATGGGGCACTATTCCTCCCACTGACACCAATGATGGGGCACTATTCCTCCCACTGACACCAATGATGGGGCACTATTCCTCCCACTGACACCAATGATGAGGCACACTATTCCTCCCACTGACACCAGTGATGGGGCACTATTCCTCCCCCTGACACCAATGATGAGGCACTATTCCTCCCACTGACACCAGTGATGAGGCACTATTCTCCCACTGATACCAATGATGGGGCACTATTCCTCCCACTGACACCAATGATGGGGCACTATTCCTCCCACTGACAACCAATGATGGGGCACTATTCCTTCCACTGACACCAATGATGGGGCACTATCCTCCCACTGACCAATGATGAGCACTATTATTCCACTATTCCTCCCACTGATACCAATGATGGGGCACTATTCCTCCCACTGACACCAATGATGAGGCACTATTCCTCCCACTGATACCAATGACGGGGGCACTATTCCTCCCACTGACACCAATGATGGGGCACTATTCCTCCCACTGAGAGCCACACCAATGACGGGGGCACTATTCCTCCCACTGACACCAATGATGGGGCACTATTCCTCCCACTGACACCAATGACGGGGCGCTATTCCTCCCACTGACACCAATGATGGGGCACTATTCCTCCCACTGACACCCAATGATGGGGCACTATTCCTCCCACTGACACACAATGATGGGGCGCTATTCCTCCCACTGACACCAATGATGGGGCACTATTCCTCCCACTGACACCAATGATGGGGCACTATTCCTCCCACTGACACCAATGATGGGGCCCCATTCCTCTCACTGACACCAATGGTGGAGAACGGCTGTTCTATGGAATTGCCACATACACGATTAGATGGGGAGGGATAAAAGTCATAGCAGATAACTTCGGACTCTTCGGATTCCCGGCGCTCTTCCTATCGGACGCTCACAAGTCGCTCGCAGAATCTCCGCCATCAGGGATCTATGGAGCTCTATAGTATTTTTGTGAACGCAGGAAATAAATGGGATCAGGAAAGCGATGTTCCGGCGGCTCGGAACCCTAAGTGGTGTAAATAAAAGGCGTTTGGCGGAACACACGAGGGAGATAATTCCATTTATAAAGAAAACTCCGAGACGTGCGACACCCTCCCTCCGCGCGCTCGCTACAGGTGATATCAGGCGCCGTGCTGTGCGTCTGTCAGCTCCTCGGCCCGCTGCGCGCTCCTCGCTCCGAATAAATAGGAAGAGATCTGAATTCCTAATAACGCATCCTCTGGGGGAGGGGAGGGGGGGGGGACAATATTTGTTCGATGGGCTGCAGGCGGCGGCGGAGTCAATCGGGGCCCGGTGGGGGCTAATGCGAGTTTATTTGCAAAATGGAAATGTTGATTTAAAAACACCCCACTCGGCTCGGCGGGAATTAATGCGCAGAAATGTTACCAGACGCTCCCATGAAGGCGGCGTGTGAGAAGACGTCTATCACAGGTGATCGGGATCTCCTGGGGGGGAGGGGATGGGGCGGGGGGGCGCTCTTCATACTCTGATCTCGTCTTCAATCCAGATGTAAAATAAATGCATTAATAAAGATTTGTATTCAGCGACGCCTCATTAAATGCGAGCGATGGAATGCGACCTGGTATCCTTGTACAGCAGAGCCCTGACTGGAAGTGGGAGAAGCAGCACAAAGAGCCCGTCCATTGTTCATCCATTGTGCTGGGGTGATCATGTGCCAAGAAGAAACATAAACCCCACACATGAAGGACCATGGAAACCCACCGGGGGAAGGGGGGGGGGGGGGGGGGGTGCAGCCTACCTGATATTAGGGTCTTCAAGTGTGGTCAGAGACTGCAGACATAGTACAGGAGACGGTCAGAGACTGCGGACACAGTACAGGAGATGACCAGAGACTGCAAACATAGTACAGGAGATGACCAGAGACTGCAGACACAGTACAGGAGACAGTCAGAGACTGCGGACATAGTACAGGAGATGACCAGAGACTGCAGACATAGTACAGGGGGGATGACCAGAGAGACTGCAGACATAGTACAGGGGGATGACCAGAGACTGCAGACATAGTACAGGAGATGACCAGAGACTGCAGACACAGTACAGGAGATGACCAGAGACTGCAGACACAGTACAGGAGATGACCAGAGACTGCGGACATAGTACAGGAGATGACCAGAGACTGCAGACACAGTACAGGAGATGACCAGAGACTGCAGACACAGTACAGGAGATGACCAGAGACTGCAGACACAGTACAGGAGATGACCAGAGACTGCGGACATAGTACAGGAGATGACCAGAGACTGCAGACACAGTACAGGAGATGACCAGAGACTGCGGACACGGTACAGGAGATGACCAGAGACTGCGGACATAGTACAGGAGATGACCAGAGACTGCGGACATAGTACAGGAGATGACCAGAGACTGCGGACACAGTACAGGAGATGACCAGAGACTGCGGACACAGTACAGGAGATGACCAGAGACTGCAGACACAGTACAGGAGATGACCGGAGACTGCAGACACAGTACAGGAGATGACCAGAGACTGCGGACATAGTACAGGAGATGACCAGAGACTGCGGACACAGTACAGGAGATGACCAGAGACTGCGGACATAGTACAGGAGATGACCAGAGACTGCGGACACAGTACAGGAGATGACCAGAGACTGCGGACACAGTACAGGAGATGACCAGAGACTGCGGACACGGTACAGGAGATGACCAGAGACTGCGGACACGGTACAGGAGATGACCAGAGAGACGGCGGACACAGTACAGGAGATGACCAGAGACTGTGGACATAGTACAGGAGATGACCGGAGACTGCAGACACAGTACAGGAGATGACCAGAGACTGTGGACACAGTACAGGAGATGACCAGAGACTGTGGACACAGTACAGGAGATGATCGGAGACTGCGGACACAGTACAGGAGTAACTACAGACAATATTTGTAGAACTTTCCTCCCCCCCCTCCCCCCCAGGAGGTCACAAGTGCTCTGCAGTACAATTCGCGGGGCGCCATTTATCTGACGTTGTGACACAATGTAACGTTTTGCGGCGATCGCTCACACAGGGAAGACACATCTGATCCTCGGATCCCCGGCAGCTGCCCGACTTTTCATCTCGGATAAGAATTGAGTTACATTTTCCCAACAACTGCGCCCCGATCTGCGGCTGGAATGCGGTGAGATCTGCATGGGGGGGGTATGTGAGGTATGGGGGGGGGGATTGGATGGCGGGCAGGTGCTCTGGGGGGTCCCGGATATCAGATATACAATGGGCAGAGCACAGGGGGCGCTCCGGTCACCGACCAACCGATGATACAAAGTGACAGACAGAGGGGCGCAGTACTGGAGGGCAACCTCCCCCACATTCCAGAGGGGGGCAGCTGAGGGGAGGGGGGGCAGCTGAGGGGAGGGGGGGGGCAGCTGAGGGGAGGGGGGGCAGGGAACTTCCGAAACTCCGGAGGAGGAGAGGAATAATCCGCCTATTTTTAGGATCTGTGATGGAGGGGACATGGGAGCGCCTGCCGGGCAGCACAACGGCTCAGTGATCAGTACATCTGCCTCACAGCACTGGGGTCCTCAGTTGGGACGCTATCTGCATGGAGTTTGCATGTTCTCGCATGGGTTGTCTCCAGTTTCCTCCCCCTGTTCCTTTTGGGTTGAAAGATTTTACATCAATAAATAAAAGCTGATCGTTGTCAGCGCCCCTGTCAGGGGAAATGGTTTGTCTTAAAACTTTAACTGCTACATTTGCAGCACAGCTTGTTCTGTTGTAATAGGACATATTTACTGGCCGGATCACCAGGTGAATAAAAAGGAAAGCAAGTCTGAAAAAGGAAAATGAATGCAGCCGCTACAGCTGAGAATTGGTAGATGCAACAGAATAACTGTAACTATCCAATCAAAAGGCAGAGAAAATCAGTCACATGACTGGATGATTGAAGGGAATCTTCACACTTTGTTTTCTCTATAATGTCTCAGTCTAGCCCCCAGTCCATAGTCCGTAGCCCCCAGACCCAGTTCATAGTCTGTAGCCCCCAGTCCATAGTCTGTAGCCCCCAGTCCATAGTCTGTAGCCCCCAGTCCATAGTCTATAGCCCCAAGTCCATAGTCTTGTAGCCCCCAGTCCCCAATCCATAGTCTTTAGCCCCAAGTCCATAGTCTGTAGCCCCCAGTCCATAGTCTGTAGCCCCCAGTCCATAGTCTGTAGCCCCCAGTCCATAGTCTGTAGCCCCCAGTGCATAGTCTGTAGCCCCCAGTGCATAGTCTGTAGCCCCCAGTGCATAGGCTGTAGCCCCTAGTCCCCAGTCCATAGTCTGTAGCCCCCAGTCCCCAATCCATAGTCTGTAGCCCTAAGTCCATAGTCTGTAGCCCCCAGTCCATAGTCTGTAGCCCCCAGTGCATAGTCTGTAGCCCCCAGTGCATAGTCTGTAGCCCCCAGTGCATAGTCTGTAGCCCCCAGTGCATAGGCTGTAGCCCCTAGTCCCCAGTCCATAGTCTGTAGCCCCCAGTCCCCAATCCATAGTCTGTAGCCCTAAGTCCATAGTCTGTAGCCCCCAGTCCCCAGTCCATAGTCTGTAGCCCCCAGTCCATAGTCTGTAGCCCCCAGTCCCCAGTCCATAGTCTGTAGCCCCCAGTGCATAGTCTGTAGCCCCCAGTCCATAGTCTGTAGCCCCCAGTCCCCAGTCCATAGTATGTAGTCACCAGTCCATAAATTGAAATTTTTTTTTAAATTATAACTAAATCATAATAATAATAAAAATAATTATTATTTGTACAATAATCATCATAACAAATATTAAATACTAAATACATCATCAAAAACATAAAAATAATAATAATGCAGAGCCGTGAACCAACCCCAAGGCGATGTTTGCAATAGATGCGTTGTGCTCATTCACTACACGACTACGACGTATTCATTGCACTACTTCCCCATCATGCGTTGTACTCATTCCCTCCACTATTCCCCTCCCCCCATCATGCGTTGTACTCATTCCCTCCACTATTCCCCTCCCCCCATCATGCGTTGTACTCATTCCCTCCACTATTCCCCTCCCCCCATCATGCGTTGTACTCATTCCCTCCACTATTCCCCTCCCCCCATCATGCGTTGTACTCATTCCCTCCACTATTCCCCTCCCCCCCATCATGCGTTGTACTCATTCCCTCCACTATTCCCCTCCCCCCATCATGCGTTGTACTCATTCCCTCCACTATTCCCCTCCCCCCATCATGCGTTGTACTCATTCCCTCCACTATTCCCCTCCCCCCCCATCATGCGTTGTACTCATTCCCTCCACTATTCCCCTCCCCCCCATCATGCGTTGTACTCATTCCCTCCACTATTCCCCTCCCCCATCATGAGTTGTACTCATTCCCTCCACTATTCCCCTCCCCCCATCATGAGTTGTACTCATTCCCTCTACTATTCCCCTCCCCCCATCATGCGTTGTACTCATTCCCTCCACTATTCCCCTCCCCCCATCATGCGTTGTACTCACTATTCCCTCCCACTGCGTTCCCCTCCCCCCCCATCATGCGTTGTACTCATTCCCTCCACTATTCCCCTCCCCCCCCCATCATGCGTTGTACTCATTCCCTCCACTATTCCCCTCCCCCATCATGCGTTGTACTCATTCCCTCCACTATTCCCCCCCCCCATCATACGGTGTTGTACTCATTCCCTCCACTATTCCCCCTCCCCCCATCATGCGTTGTACTCATTCCCTCCACTATTCCCCTCCCCCCATCATGCGTTGTACTCATTCCCTCCACTATTCCCCTCCCCCCATCATGAGTTTGTACTCATTCCCTCCACTATTCCCCTCCCCCCATCATGAGTTGTACTCATTCCCTCCACTATTCCCCTCCCCCCATCATGCGTTGTACTCATTCCCTCCACTATTCCCCTCCCCCCATCATGCGTTGTACTCATTCCCTCCACTATTCCCCTCCCCCCATCATGCGTTGTACTCATTCCCTCTATTCCCTCCATTCCCCACCACTATTCCCCTCCCCCCCATCATGCGTTGTACTCATTCCCTCCACTTTTCCCCTCCCCCCCCATCATGCGTTTTGTACTCATTCCCTCCACTTTTCCCCTCCCCTCCATCATGCGTTGTACTCATTCCCTCCACTTTTCCCCTCCCCCCCATCATGCGTTGTACTCATTCCCTCCACTTTTCCCTCCCCCCCATCATGCGTTGTACTCATTCCCTCCACTTTTCCCCTCCCCCCCCATCATGCGTTGTACTCATTCCCTCCACTTTTCCCCTCCCCCCCATCATGCGTTGTACTCATTCCCTCCACTTTTCCCCTCCCCCCCATCATGCGTTTGTACTCATTCCCTCCACTTTTCCCCTCCCCCCCATCATGGGTTGTACTCATTCCCTCCACTATTCCCCCCCCCCATCATGCGTTGTACTCATTCCCTCCACTATTCCCCCCCCCCCATCACGCCGTGGAATTTGTACCCATTGCCCGGTGTTGGGTAGCCGGTCACTATGGTGGTATGTCCGTCCACATCTGCGCCGCACTCACATATCAGACTGATGAGGACGGATATCTTACACTTTAACTCGATAGCCAATTAAACGTTAGCGCCGTATCGTTCCGCAAAAACTCCCAGCTTCGGGGGCTCAACAGGATTCGGCGCCAATATTCCCACCCCGCCCTCTGCGGCTCTACAAAGCTTCGGAGACCGACCCCCAGACAACGTCTCCTAGCCACGCCATCCACCGAAAAAAAAACGGGCAAAGCAGCGAACGCGCATTTCCCTAATAAGGTGCCGATATCTGTAAACAACGCATAAAAATTCACAGCGGCACCTCCGGCCTGCGGCGGGCGAGAACTGCAAGGGAGGCTACAGGAGGTTATTAGCGAGAAAGTATTCCGCACGTGGACTGCGTGTATGTGAGTGGAGAGAGTCGCGGCGGGGGGGGGGGGGCGCAGAACAAGGAGTCGACTTCTCGCCTGGGGGGGGGTGGATGTACTCGGCTTTCATCTCCTCGGCTGATCTTTCAGAGGTGCCCCCCCCCCCTTCTATTTACATTGGGGTCGGCGGTACTCAGCGCACGCAGACGGGCTGTCAGTCTCCCCCGAGACGCGCGTCCATATAAAGGAGTCCGCCGACACGGTGTGTATATAAGAGAGCGCGTCTGTGTGTACAACTGTCTGCCATTGACCGAGAATTCATCCCGAGTCCTCACAGTGACCCCAACACGTTCAACCGCCACTTTCCAACTGCCAATCACCCGCGCCGAGGACACTCACACTGAGACGAGGGGACGGGGGAAGGCAAGAATTACCGAGCCGCGGGCTGATTACGGGCGGATCAAATGAAAGTGTCGCTGTACACAAAAAAATTAATTAATGAATAAAAGAAAATAATAAACAAATGAAACTATTAATAA